CCACCTTTTGTTCTTTGTTGTTGCTTTTGTTTTTCTTATCTGTGCTTAAAATATGTAATAGAGAGTTCTATTGAATGTTTATACAAAAAAAAAAAACGAAACGTGTCGGCAAATTCAATTCCAAATATTCAATTCATCTTATCAAAACACATCAATTTTTCAGTGAACTTATTCTGATAAGAAATGAATAGTCACAAAGCAAAAGTTTAGACTAGAAGATTGATTTGTATCTTAGATAGTAACTCGGTTTGTTTTCCATTGATCCTTTGAAAACTTTCATAGGTCTTCTAATGATGAAATGAATCAATGTGCAATGTAAGGAATAATTTCGAATATACCTACTGGTGGTCCTTACAAAGCATCGAAAAAAATCGTTGCATAAATATCTGAGAACTATCTTATTCAACAACAAACACACTCACATCCAAAAATACAACAACAAAAAGCAAATGAAACTTTCCATTAATCCTCTCTGTCTCTTGTCTAAATGATGAGTTATCTTTTCTTCAATTATTTCTCTTTAAAAAACCGTATCAAATTTCTTTTTAGAAAAGCTCGTCCTTTATTTTTCATTGACCGAAGAAGTACATCTTTACCAGTGTTTTGAAAATAACCATGTGTAAAAAATTGTACTGTTTTTCTATTGATGAACATTCTTTTATTCTTCAAACGTTTTTTTTCTTATCGTTTTGGTTTTTTTAATAAGCACCAATCTTCTTCGATAGAAAACGCTCGATGGAAAATCATTGTTTCCGATTTCAAGCTACACATGCATTGACATTCATATTGACACAGTTCAAATGGTAAGCAGTATAAAACTCATTACTTCTTTCTACCGTTTTGAACAGATCACTTATTAGAACCTGTGATAGCTTCCATAACGTCTTTTAAAATCTCGATATGTGTTTAATCCGTTCGGACGTCTTCATTTATCATGCTGTCTGTTAAATTTTTGTGAACTTTGAAATCCTATAATGGTTTCCAAGGGTGCTTTTTAGAGAAAATACGACCAAGCCATCACTATCAGTAGCAATTGTCGATGCAATCAGAGAGTGAGCTTGTGTAAATGTTTATTATTAAACAGTAAAAAGAAACAATAAACTGAGCAGAAACATGTGTGCGTGTGTATATACGAAAGGAGAGAGTTCATTTATGTTCCCCATATTCGTTGTCACAACAGTTCAGTTTGAGCCGGCACCACTTGATTGCTTATCTTTTGTAGCGGATTGAGCAGGTAAATTGGTGCCACTGCCAGCATCGGCACCTGGATCGCCACGCTGTGGTTCCTAAGGATTAGCCGTGCTTGAACCAGCTGAAGGTAGATTCATGATACTACAACCTCCACTGTGATGTAGAGAAGAGGAAGTGTATTGATTCTTCTTCGATGTAAAAAGAAAATATGCTTACCTACGGTTACCAGTCGTCTGTCTGGCTGTAGCGCCAGAAAGCCCTCCTTGGTTGCTTGACATCTAGTTGTGTAATGTTTTTTTTTATCTTGAGAATGAATGAATAGCAACAAGAGTATCCTCTATTAATACCGGTAAAGATGAGAGAGATACACAGAGAAAATTTCTAGAATAAGGTGGGAGCATTAGTGGTATTGAGTTCTATTTTATTCTCAAATGTAGCAGGAGCATGCAAACAGAGAGAACATGTGTCTGAGTGCGTTCCTGTCCGCACCAATCAAATGTATATGAATAGAAGGACATAATATATACAGTTATCTAAAAGCAGAAAGAAAAAGAAGAAGATGAGGATAGTCTAGTATTCAATGAATGAATAATAGTTTCACGCATTTATGTCGCCATTGATTTGTATGAAATAACAAAGAACAGAAAGAGTATTTCCAATACTGTAAACGGTGTTGCTGTTGCTGGTCATCGAACAAGGACAAGAACAAAATGAAAAAGAACAACTATTCGTTAATCGATATCGAATCGTACGCAGAGATTGTCCTGTTTGTATTCGTAGGTAAAGGAACGTGACCCATATTTCTCTGCCAGTCTTCTGTAAGCAAGAAAGTGCACTTCACAATACCAATTAGTGTTGCAAATCGAACATGTATTCAAGCTTCTTTTCTTAAAATTTATTCTTGCTACAATATTCGATCATACTAAAAAGAACTGGTTGATGAGTTAGAGTGATAGTAAAAGACTTGATTAAAAACCATCGGTTTTCTTGTATTAAAAATAAACTATATAAAATGAAAGTATATTAGAAGTATACAAATACCTCAGTATCGGCTTATTAATATTCTTCTCTGAAGGAAAAATATTTAAGCAATATTTTTCAACAAAATTAATTGCATCCAAGATAAATTTATTATGTTCTACTCTCATTTTAACTCAAATTAATGTCTTCGTCTGAGAATCTATTCTTTCCAGATATTATGGAGCATATATATGTACAAGGTCATTTAGAAAATAAATAATAATTTTAAATCTATTCGAACACCTTTATTAATACATTATTCGAAAACAATATCTATTTTAGCAACATAAAAATGTCCTACTTTTTTTTTTTATAATAACTATCTTTGAAGAATTTATTATTAAATAATTCAATTCCATTAGTGCCCTTCATATCACCATTTGTAATTGCGTCATCATCATTAGCTTTTCGTTGTCTTCAATATTGATCAAACAGTTGAAGATTTGTAATATTGTATTGCAATGCAGTTAATTTAGTACTATAATTTAGTATCGGCGTACCATTAATATTACAATATAATCAACATAGAGCTCCTATGATATGTGTGCATGCTCCTTTCGAACACACAACCAGTTTACATGACTACTATGTATTGATATCTTTAATATCTAATGATAATTCAAAGTCATTATCATCATTATTAATAACAAATTTTTGGACGGTATTGTCAGATGCTTCTGATTGGCAGGAAAAATTCTAAATTTCTCCGCATTTTCATATTTCCTCGATGCATGCCTTTATAAGGTTGACGACAAATTTTCATTCATATTTTATCAACAATTAGGATGTGGGTGTGCCTGTGGCTGTATCCGTCGGCATGCTTTACACCCACACCCTCACCCACATCCAGAAATGGTCATGATAAGAAATCATCTTCATTCGTAGTCATGAATTGTGCAAAGACAGTTTTATTCTTATAACGAAATCACATTGAAACTTCTGTCGAGTTTTCGGATAAAAAATTCAATGTAATAATGTGCAAAAGTATACTTTTCCGATGAGGTTAGGCAATAAATCTCTTTTAGACATCTGTCGAACGAAAAAGCGAACTTAACTCACTCGTCTGCTGAGTATCTCAGAGCTTGCGACATGTTTGATAATCTCGCGCTAGTGCACTTTCGATTGTAGAGACAGATTTATTCACTTTTGTGATATTGAATCTTCAGCATACGGATGTGACCGATCGCAGACCACGCTGTATAAAGATTTCAAATAGTTTTTCGTCTTTGATGATAGTTGAAACAGTAACAAAGACGATTATGTTGTATGCAGTGTATCGCCATTACATGAAATTGAAGTCGAGATTTCTCATGCTGATCATTGATTTCTTTTGTGAATGATTGGTTACGTGCGGTTTGGTAAATTTGGGCTGTGGTAGAAATTTATTGTTTATGCGCTGACGAATATACAACAATCATATTGTTATCGTCAAACTTCTTTCCTATTTGTCTCAAGTAAAGGACAGAACACAATAACAGTACGTGCTTAATCTTGTGTTATTATCTACCTGTGCGTATATATCATCAAGTTATTTCTCTCTTTGCTACGGCGACCGAAGTACGTGAGGAGCACAGATAATTTCATCAAATACGGTTCATATATCCAAGACTATCGTAGTACTACTCTTCGATCATTGCCATCAATAACAAGTGTGTACTTTTTATAAAATTTGTTATTAGTAAGCATGGCACCAAATAAATTGAGCGCTGTCGATTATGTTATTCTTGTAATACTTCTTCTATCATCGGCTGTCATTGGTGCTATATTCGGATTTTTCAAGTCGAACAAGAATTCAGCACAAGAATTTCTCCTAGGTATGATTGATCTCTTGATACAGTAGTTGTACGTAATAGTATCATTCGTTTACAGCTGACAGACGCATGGGAGTAAGTATAGAACTATACAATAAATTGTCTCCATTTATTCTATACAGGCGTTTCCGACAGCACTCAGTATTATGGTATCGTTCCTTTCGGCTGTTACTTTATTAGGTACACCCAGTGAAGTCTACATGTTTGGTACAATGTATTTTTATCAAGGTAAATCGAATGTAAATTTCTAATCATTGATTACTAAACTCTATGTTATACTAGGGATTGCGCTAATAATCGCTTCACTAGTGACAGCATTCGTATTTATGCCTAAATTTCGTGCAATGAATTTTACAAGTGTCTACGAAGTATTCTTTTTATTGTTTCAAGTTTTTAATGAAAAGAAAGAGATATTCTAGTATTTAGATAAACGATTCGATCAAACCGTACGTTTATGTGTTTCATTCAGTTACTCATTGATCATGGTAAGAGCTTATTTATTTTATAGGTTCAGTTATCTTTGTCATATACAGCTCATCTACATGGCCATTGTATTATACGGACCCGCATTAGCATTAAGTCAAAGTAGAAAAATGTTAACTTCGAGAATTCGACAAAAAAACCTATTGCTTTTCTTTAGCTGCTGGTTTGAACATTTGGGTTTCTGTTATTTCAATCGGTGTCATTTGCACGTTCTATTCTTCTGTGGTAAAATTCAAAGATATCAGAGAATCCAATTTGATCTATTTATTGGTCTGTATTTAGGGTGGTATGAAAGCAGTCATTTGGACCGATGTTCTACAATCAATAGTCATGTTTGTTGGTCTTTTAGCAGTCATCATTCAAGGTTTGATATCACTCGGTGGTTTTAAACGAACATTTTCCATAGCATCACGAGGCGGCAGAATTGAATTTGATAGGTATACCATTTCGACAAGCTCATTTTTTAGCTCTCCACCCCACTTTTTTATTAAATATTGGCAATCGATAGAGAACATCTTGTTACATATATATCTGGACGATTTCACATGAGTTTGTTTTCTATAGTCTGAGATATGGCCGATCAAACGCGAATAGTTTTATCGTAATTTTGTCCCTCGAGTCTGAGAGAAATGTTTTGATTTTTTTTGTTTCTATGCATGAAACAAATGATCCTTTCGAATTATACTCAAATTCAAAATATAACATCATTTTAGTATGGTCTGTGAGAAATGAGAGCCTCTTAATTGATAGACCGTATCCTAGGCTATAGATATGAATCATTCATACATCCTGAGTAGAAACGCCTTAAGCTAGACCTAGGTTAACATACGAGAAAGTACTGTCTAAAATGGTAGCATTTTAACTGGGCTTTTTGTTTTTACATTAAACATGTGAATGAGTCATATCTATAGCCTAGGGCGAGACCTATCAATTGAGAGATCCCGCAGCTTGAATAATCAAAATAGTTAACACACGCTATCTTAATTTTGTTTTACCGGCTAAACGAAATATTTCAGCACTCATGTCGTAGAGACAATGCTAGGTAATTTAATATTTTGCTATTGAGTATAATTCAATAAGATCATTCGTTTCGCGCATACAAATAAAAAAAATCAAAACATTTCTCTCAGACCAAGATCGACAATCATATGGTGATATCCATTCTCAGAATCCATAGAAAATAATCTCTGGCTTCTCATACAAGCAAAACTGACACAATGTTTCTAACACGGCTGAAAGGTAGAAAAGTACAAAAGTGTCTCTTGAAACTGAATCATTACAATGGAGAATGTGATGATAAGTTCCTTCGTTGAACCCAACTTAGGCTTTATTAGAGACCATGAATATCAAGAGATAAAATTTCGATAAAACTATTTGTCTTTGACCGACCATATCTCAGACTAAAGAAAAGAAACTGATGTGAAACATTTAGGATGTATCTAACATGAAGTTCTCTATTGATTGTACATATTGAATAAATAGATGGAAGTTGTGAGCTCCTTCCCACTTTTCAAGTCATGAAGATTCATTTTTATCACACGGAAGAGTCATCGTTAGTTTGACGTAGTTTCCTAGCTGGGATTCCTTTCAATAAAATTTTGTTGTGTTTATATCTTCAGTGTTAGCGCTGATCCTCGTACTCGTCATACAATATGGTCATTAATCATCGGTGGGTCAATCAATGCACTTGCTACCTATGGATTTAATCAAGCACAAGTACAACGTTATATGTGTATTCGTTCAACACGTAGTGCTAAACAAGCACTATTTATGAATGCAGTCGGTTCTGCACTGATTGTTTTCCTCTCGACTCTAATTGGAGTTATCATTTATGCATATTATGCCGATTGTGATCCGTATACAACCAAAAAACTTCAAGAAATTGATCAAATTCTTCCGTATTTTGTCATGGAAGTATTGGGCGATAAGAAAGGTCTACCTGGTGTATTTCTTGCTTGTATTTTTTCTGGTTCACTCTCTACAATTTCATCTGGATTGAATAGTCTAGCAGCAGTACTTGTAGAAGACGTTTACAAAGGACTTTTGGGTAAACAATTGACCGATCAACGGCAAGGCTTTATATGCAGAATAGTCTCAGTTGTGCTCGGAGTTTTTGTCATGTCACTTACTTATGTGGTCAGCTATCTTGGATCGATACTCAATGCAACATTATCTCTGTTTGGCGTCCTCGAAGGTCCTATAATGGGCGTCTTTGTTCTCGGTTTCTTTTTTCCACAGGCGAATCGACGAGGCGGACTTGTTGGATTTTTCATAAGTCTAGCCTTAGAACTATGGATCTTTTTAGGGGCTCAAATTACAAAAAGACAGATGACAAGTGTTATTTTACCGTTATCGATAGCTAATTGTACTGATATAACAAATAGTACATTAACAAATTGGACTACAAGTACAACGATACCTACATTCTTAAAGTAAGATCAATAGATAGGCTGATTAAGTATATGAATATTTCGAATCAGTTAATTTTATTTAAAAAAAACTATGATTTTCATATAGACGCGATCCTCTCATTGACCTCTATTCGGTGAGCTACATGTGGTACACACCCATTGCAGTCATTACTGTTGTACTCGTTGGTATCATTGTTTCCTATTTAACTGGTCCACTTCAACCACATGATATCGATCCAAAATTGATAATATCAGTGAGTGCTATCTGTTGTAGCATTTTGCCTAAACGATGGCACGGATCGCATCAATGTGATGTCAATCATGAAGCTTTTCAAAAGAGACAGGTATGTTGATATGAATATTTTATTTCATAAAATATATAGTTTTATTTCAGAACGATAATAATGACATGGAAATAATGACACATGGCACTCATAGTTCTGATCATAGAAGCCCTAGTGTACAGATGGTCGATACAAAACCGAAAGTATTAATAAAATCGAACATGGTAGCACCTGCTTTAGTCGTCTCTCCACTGTCTGCACCGGTCACAACCGGTGAAGTTCATGACAGTCCGTTCGCAAATTGAGAACCTGGATAGCACGTGGTTTCATTCGAAATAAAGCGGAAGGGACAATTGTTGAAGTTGTCAAAACTAAGCAATATGATCTTTGATACTTTCACAAATAATAACTGATAATTCATCAACAGGTGTAGTCTTCATTTCACTCCATAAATTGTAGACGAGTGTTTGTTTGACATAATTTCAAACATCTACCATCATAACAAAAGTACAAGTTTAATCTCACACTTTTATTTTTCTTTACCTGCATATCCAGAGGTCAGTACCTCACTTGATGTATGTTAACAATATGTTCTTGTAATTTTTCTTTGCACTACGACAAGAGTACAACAAAAGGAAATAATGCAATAGAATAATATTCATATTCAATACATTCAAGCTGATCTTAGTACTACATTGTACGATCCTTCAAATTGAATCGAATTCTAACCGTTTAACCTTCTTATCTAACCAAGAACTCAAAGAAATCAGATTTGACTGTTTTTTTTTCTCGTATATATTAGTCCTCGTGATTCATCATTACACATTGAGTCATCACCGGACAGACCAATGTGTCGAATTTCGTAGTCATTTTCTGCAGAAAGATAACAAGGTAATCAGATGTTTCTTGGAAATGTGGATCTGGACTGGAGCCTTCTCTTCAACCACACAAGCAAACCCACATTTACAACCTAACAATTTGAAACAACAATGGGTACAATAGGAAAAAAAAAGTTTCGATAAATTAGCTTTACTAATAAGTATATTTTATCTTAAAATCTAGTTATGATAGTAAAGAGCGTTTATGTCATGAACTAAAATTAATTCATTTTGATATAAAACTCATGATCATATTTACTTACAAGCATGATGAAGATATGAAAAATTTATGACGACATGTGTTAAAAGTTTCACTCAACATGATGCTTATGATCATCTCATACGAAATAATCAAAAATGAGTTGCTTTACATATTGCAGCTTTTTATGATAACATATTAATTTTTAACAAAAGATCCGTTAGATGGTCGGATGTGGGTGTGATTATGCATATTAATCTCTCTCTTACATTCACACTCATACGCCTCCATTTTTTCATATAGAGCCCATAGGTGAGCAGATTTTTATGATGTTTTTTGTTTTTGTACTGTTATTGTATATCATCGGCCGACTTGAATTATCTTATTTACATGAATTTATGATTTAGAACGTGAATCTATTCATCTCTGGGAATCAATACAAATTCGATAAGCTCTATATCAGACAATGACAGATCACATATATAATTGTTCATTCAAATGATTGGATTCTAGACAGAAATATTTTCATAGATATCCATCTTGTTCACAGCTGTCATGCTTTTAATTGAATTAATTACCACTTATAAATCAATTGATAAATAGCAGAAAAATTTTCTAGAAAAAGTCTAGAAGTTGAATATTATACTTATTCAATTGTATTTTCAATCTAAGATTTATATATGAAATTTTTTTTCGTCAACAAGGCCTTTTTTGAAATAGAATTTCTGAAAAATATTTAATGCTTGACAAACAAAGTAACTAGTAGTAACTTTTGAAATTTACAATTACGATACTTCCAACAATGACAATGAATAGTTTTGATATTCCATTAAGGTGTTGAAAGGTAAATAAATGAAGTGATACTGTTCAAATAGAATAAATCAGATATCGCCAACATTTTAGAAATGATTTGTTTACTGATTTTTTTTTATCAAATAAAAAATAAAAAATCTCTTCCGATGTTTCTTTCAAATAAAGCTTCAAAAAGATGGTTTTTTTTCTTCTTCCTAGAGAATACGTAGTAGTGAATAATATTTACCTGACTTTGATATAGGTTCGTGACGAAAACAGTGTCATCGTCTCCCTAGTATGATGAATATTTATTCAAAGAACGACGAAAGTAACACATAAAACAAAAACAGAGAAAATGAGACGATAGCAACTAGGTGAGACGAAAACAGGTAAACACATGATGAAAGCGACGTTTCGTCGCATATTTTCAGTCAACAGAAAGAAAAACGTCTTTTATTTATTTTTTACTTGGAAAGAAATTTCTTTTTTTCTGCCGACAAAATAAATCAAATTAGCACAAAAGGTAGTATATCTTCACCTGACCAAAAGACTGCAGAATTTACATTAAGAAGTACTGTTGATCTACTGACAACTGAAATGTCGATTTCCTATTCTAATGAAACAGCATATTTGACACAAAATAATAATCAAGAAGAATTAATTTATAAAACAACTTCGTCAAAGCATAGACAATTAAGTGTACCTTACAATTTTATTCTCATATGGTTGAATTCTAGCGTGAATGAATATGACAATCAATATAATGATTTAATGACTCAATTTCAACGTATAACTAAGTCCATTCGACTATTTACTGATGTTGATCAATGTATTGAATTTATGAGAAATATTGAAGATGACAAAGTTTTGATTATTTTATCAAACAATATCGATATGACTTATGTACCTCTTATAAATGATTTACATCAAGTCGATTCCATATACATTTTTTCGAATGAAGAAATCAAACCTGAACAAAGTTTATTAGAATACAAAAAAGTACGAGGCATATTCTTTGATATCATCATGATGTTTAATCAACTTCAACGAAAGTTTTGGCAATACGAACAGGATCTTATATCAATGAATATATTCTCGTTCGATTCTACTCTTGATTTAAATGTATTCGATCAATCATGTATGCATTCTTTATTATTAAAGGAGATTCTTCTTGAAATGAATTACAATGAAAAAGCAACAACTAATTTTTTTAAATTGTACCGCGATCACTATCTGAACTACGAAATTAATTTTAGTAGAATTGATAAAAAAGAAAAAAATTATAATCATTATTCACCTATTGAATTGTACATTAAAATGCCGTCTATTTACTTCATACTCAACAGAGCATTAAGAACACAAGACGTGACTAGTATCATTAAAATGGGATCTTATTTGAAAGATCTTCATAAACACATCAAACAAGTTTACTCAACAGTAAATAAAACTGAAAAACTAGTTGTCTATCGGGGACAAAAGATTTCAACGGATGACCTAGAAAAAATGAAAAAAACTACAGGAAGTCTTTTGTCATTCAACAATTTCTTGTCCACAACTACTGATCGAGAAGTGGCATTAGAATGGATTAATGATGCTCGTAACAATCCAAATGTAGTGGGAATTCTCTTTGATATGGAAATCGAACCATCACTTTCGAAAATTCCATTTGCTCCATTGAAAATAGTTAATAATTGCTCGACATGTGAGAACGAAATTCTCTTCTCAATGCATACTTCGTTTCATGTAAACGAAATTACAGAAATTGATAATGGTTTGTGGAATGTGAAGATGATTATGGCAAATAACCTTAATCCTCAGCTCGAACATCTTACAAATCGTCTACGTGAAGCAATACAAGATTCTAATGAATTGCATCGTCTGGGAAACTTATTAATTAAGATGGAATACTTCGACCAATTTGAAGAGACTTACGGTGCACTATTCGAAATGTTATCAAACGATTATATAAAAGAATTCGAATATATTTCCAATCAAATCGGAAACATGCTTATTGAAAAAAATCAACTAGGAAAAGCATTGTCATTTTTACAAAACACACTTGAGGTTAGATGCAAATCTTTGTCATCAAACCATCCAGACTTGATTACCACCTATACTAATATTGGCTTAGTGTATAACAAAATGGAAAACTATTTACAAGCGCTCTCATTTTATGAAAAGGCACTTGAAATACAACAGACAATTCTTCCACATAATTATTCAGACTTGACTAATACATACAGCAACATCGCCTTGATATATCATAGTAAGGGAGAATATTCAAAAGAACTTTCTTGTTATGAACAGATACTTCAAATTCAGCTAAAATCTTTGTCGTCAAGTGACCCAGCATTGATTGGTACATATAACAATATAGCTCTAGCGTATTGTTCTATGAATGATTACTTACGTGCTATTCCATTTTATAAGAAGGCTCTTAAAATTCAACAATTGGTTTGTCCAGTCAATGATCTATCAATAGCGACCACATGCATTAATATCGGTCGAGCACATGCTATTAGAGAATACTACTCGTTTGCACGCGATAGTTACCAAGAAGCACTTAAAATTCAAGAGAATGTTCTGGATCCAAATGATCTTAGATTGGCTGAGACATATAACAATATTGGAGAAATGCATCGATTAACAGGAAACTGCTCAGCTGCATTACAATACTTTGAAAAGACGCTACAAATTCAGGAAAAATCACTTGCTTCAAATCATCCATCACTAATTAAGACAAAACGTGATATAGACCAAGTACGTAACTCTATGAAGAATATTGGCAAAATAATATCATTTTTGGAGACAGTACTGAAACTAAAATCAAAATCATTTCTATCAAATGATACATCCTTCAATTTGAGTGATGACAATATGACAACAACATTGGAAGAATCTTATCAATACGAAGATATGGCTCTAGAGCCATCACAAACCATTAATACCATTGCTCATAGTATTAATCCTAATCATTCGCCAGCGGAAGTATTTCAAGAATATGACAATGAATGCACGACTACATTCAATAGTGAAAAACAGCGTGAGAAAAAGATCGACAAGCAGTAAGTCTATGTATAATCTTTTCAATTGAATAATTAACTTTCTTTATAGATGGACCTATCCTGTTCTTCTTATTCTTCCTTCGTTAGAAAAATCTCCTTTATATTCCGTTCTAAAGGTCATAACCAATGGTTGTCTCATGTCTCCAATTCTCATAGATGAATGTAATGATAAACTAAAGTCATACCAACAAATAAAGGAACTTATACTCGAAGTTTCATCTATTTCTGTCAGTGAGCGAGATCGAATGCTTACAGAAATCTCATCTTTTGATAATATTCAATCAATCTATTTATTGGGAAAACCACCTGAAACAAAACAACAACGGAATGAGTTTTTTAATCGATTTGACAAAGTATGCATATTCTGTGACGATGAAGAGCAAATTGCTGTTCAATGGGTATTGGATACCGCTAACCATTGCCGCATATCTGCCAATCAATACATTAAGGCAGGTGACAAAGCTGTTGCTAGTGAACATTTTCAACGAGGTATAGAACTTTACGATCGTCTTAAAGACTTCATCAAATCAACACAACGTCAAGTATCATAAACATTCTTTTGCTTTATAGTGACTATAAAATAAAATAACACAAACTTTTTTTTTTTTATCTCCAACAAAACATTATTTATCATCAATATATTTTTTCTAATCATGTCTATTTTTAGAGTTTTAGATTTGATGGCATTAGCTAGAGCAAGAGTATTGACTTTTTTTGATCCTGGTGATAAATATGAATGGTATGATAATAGATTTGATAAAAGAATATTTATTCGTTGTATTGACTCTCACCATTGTCGTAACCATATATGCGATCATATCAAACAAGATTTAGATGTTCATTTCTTTTTCCCTGATACTCAATTAGCACTTATCATGGGTTGGCAACCGGAATATATCGACACTTATAAATATATTTATTGTCGTGATCAAACATCGATCAATGAAATTAAACAAACATATAGGAAGCGCTTTGCTCAACAGATATTCCTTGCTGACGAGCTAGAATTTCAAATTGGTCATGTTCAAGTTGCACTCTTGCATTCATTAGCAAAGAATATGCCTGAGGAATCTCCTCAACGTGATGAAATAGCATCAAAAGCAATAGAACAATTAGAATGTCTTAAACACATGTTAAAACAATTGAAGACTGATCAATTAAGTGAGGAACCTGTCGAACTTCACTGAGATACAATTTTCTTTTTCTTCAAATGACTAACTGTTGTCAAAGCACATTTTGTACTTGGTTTTCTTTTACACATAAATATTTATTCAAGGAGACTCAGTCAAACTTAAAAATAGCTAACCTCATTAAACTGCTTGGGCAATAATGCACATATTATCGTTTACCTCGAAAAAAAAACAGATTACTCGAAAGTTTTCGAGCATTTTCTAATAGAAGTAAGATAATGGGATATTATTTCTGCAGTTCAAAGGATTTACTTATCAATAAACTCTCAAAATACAAGCATAGGCCTTCGTTATGCACATCTTATCCCTTGGATACTTCCAGAGTGGGTTTGGATGTGGGGCGTAGGATAAGAAGCAGATAACATTCGCGACCACACCTCACCATCGGCGGCTTGAGTAAGAACGATATTATTGCAACCTTTTATGTCTCCCCCATATCGATGCCAACAAAAGAGATAACTGAGCAGATCTTGTTTGTTATCTTTCAACGAGCAAGGCTAAACCAAGTATTCGTCGACTGATACATTCCTACGACGCTTTTCGCGGAATGAAATCTGAGTTTGGCGGGTATGTTGTGCAATTCAAAACATAGAGATAAGAAATTTATGTATTAGCCAGCAAAATGTGGGTATCTAAACGCAAACAGCGTTTGCATTTTGGGTATAGGTGTGCGCAGACGTGGGTTTTTCGTCGACCTGTGAGTGTGAGTTTGGGTGTAGCTGTTGGTATCGATTTACGTTAAGTGATATTATAACTCCACTCACATCTACACCCGCACTGATAAAAAGTGCTCATAAACAACTTGTATCAATTTGAGAAGTTGCAGCAATTAATATATTGATTTTGTTTGAAATTTTCAGAAAAAATTTACCAAAACATCACGGCAAAAAAGTAGTACAACAAAGAGTAAATCATTTGATTTAGAAAATTGAGAAAAAAAAATTTCAATGACCATTAATCGCATATCACATTTGCGGTCAGATAATGTGATACATCAATCATATATTGCCGTTCTTCTTCTGGAGTGTTACTGTTTCCAAATTTTAACGTCTCGAGTGTCTATGAGATTAATGAAAAGAAATAAGAAAGAAAGAAATAGACAAGTTGTCTGAATTACTTTATTTACTAGCAATGCATTTACTAAACATCGAACTCCTTCTAAACCAATTGTGTTGCCTGCAATATCTAATGTCGTGAGTGTCTGTATTAAAAGAAATATATAAATGTAAGAAAAAGAGATATAGAATTCGTCTTACTATATTGTTTAATAGTGCATTAGCTAAATATCGAACTCCTTCGGTATCGATTCTATTGCTTGCAAGACCTAGCATTGTTAATGCCTGCGTTGAGCAATATCAAAAAGTAATGAATAAACTAACACAGAATTTTGTCTCACTTTGTTATGGATCAATGCATTAGCAAGATACTGGGTTCCTTCGGCACAGATTCCATTAACGGAAAGTTGTAGTGTCTTTAGAGTCTATACCAAATGAGAACAATTAATCAAAAGTAAACTAATAAACAACTCATTTTACATTATTTTTTTCCAAAGCTTTAGCTATATATTGTGCTCCTTTAGGACCAATACCATTGATTCCCATTGAAAGTATTGTGAGTGTCTGAGCAGAAATATTAAAAAGGTAGGATATTAAAATATAAAGTATTTATTTTACTGTATTATGCATTAGTGCATTAGCTAGATACTGCATAGGCTCTGAACCAAATCTGATGATGTTAAGCTTGAGACAGGTGAGTGTCTATATTGAAAGATATCAATAAATATTAGATAGAGAGATGAAAGTCTTATTTCACATTGTTATATTGCAATGCATTAAATAAATACTGAATATCTGCAACATCAATCATACTACGACTAAGATTGAGTTCCACCAATGCCTACAACGAATAATATAAGTATAAGAAAAATGGATAGAAACTTTTTCTAACAATGCTATTTGTCTGTAATAAATTTGCTAGATATTGTGCTCCTTGTGAGCAAATCGGGATTTCCCAAAGATTTAATGTTGTTAGTGTCTATATTGAATGGAAGAAAAACGAAATATAACGTCAAAAAAAAACAAACTAATTGCTTTACTCGATTGTTTCGTAATCCAGCATAAAGAGCACGTGTTCCTTCAAAACCGATAGAAGTAGACATAAGACACAATGATGTCAGTGTCTATATTTTAAATAATAAATAAAAATATCAAATATAAGTATATGAATCAAGAATCTATCGCACAGCATTATTTTCTAGTGCTTTAGCTAAATATTGTGCTCCTTCATTATGGATGGGATTATGAGATAAATTCAACATCGTAAGTGTCTGTAAATAAATAAGAGCCAGTAGTATGAGATAGAGCGTTATAAAAGACATTTAAACCGTATTATGTTGTAAAGCATTAGCAAGATATTGAGCTCCTTCACTACCAACGTCATTACAGTCAAGAGACAACGATCTCAATGCCTGTATTAAATAAAAATAATAGAGTTTGAAATAATGATACGAAAACTTATCTTACTTGATTATTCTGTAATCCATTAGCTAAATATTCCATCCCTTGACAGTTTATGTGATTGTGACCAAGATCTAGGTTGATCAAGGTCTATATAAAAGGAGAAAATTGAATATAAGACAGAAAACTAGATAGTTATAATTACATGATTTTTTTCTAATGCACTTGCTAAATATTGTAAACGTCCTTTAACGCCAAGCTCATTCCATGTAAGATTCAAGTCTGTTAATGTCTACATTCACTGATATACATAGAAGACAAGATACCATTATATAGCTTGTCTCACTTTATTATTTGCTAATGCATTAGCCATATATTTGAATCGATCACCAGAAAATGGATTGCATGTAAAATTTAATGTTGTTAGTGTCTATGTTAAATATTTTAAAGATAACTATGATAAAGATCTCTATATATTATGCTACTACATTGTATTCTAAGATATTACCCATATATTGTGCTCCGTTACCGTTCAATGTGTTGCTTGATAGTGTCAATGCTGTTAGTGTCTATATTAAATATGATAGATAAAGAAAATCTTAGATACCTTACATTACTTTATTATTTTGTAATGCGGTAGCTAGATAATTTAATCCGAGTTCTCCGATTTGATTAAATGATAGGTCTAATGTAATAAGTGTCTTTATTGCGTAACAATAATAACTACAAGACAATGAACAAGAATATTTTTCCTACTTGATTGTGTTGTAATGCTTCAGCTAGATAAGATATCCCCATAGAATTAATTTGATTAGAATATAAATTCAATTGTGTAAGTGTCTGTGTTTAAAAAAGAAGAAAGACAGATATGTGAAAAAGATCAAGAACTATTTCTACTCGATTAATTTGTAATGCTTTAGCTAGATATTGAACTCCTTCTGAGTCAATGTTGTTTTGACCAAGATTAAGAATTTTGAGTGCCTACATTCAAACATAAATTTCAATCTGTTATGTAAGAGTAAAGGATTGATTCTACTCGGTTATGATGCAGTGCATTAGCCAAATATTGGAGTCCTTGTGAGCCAATGTTATTAGCATAAAGATTTAGAGTAGTAAGTGTCTGTATTCATGAATAAACATGAATGGCTATATTTATGAATACTATATCACAAACCTAATTTTATATTAATGAGGTACTGTACTAATTGTACTTTAACTAACACAATTTATTCTGTAGAAATATTACTTGAATAGAAGTGTATTTTTGATGAGAATAATTATGGCATATATATATTTAGGTAAAAAATGACTCAAGAAATATATTTTTAACTTATGAATTATCTTATTCAAATGAAGAATATCTTCTAGTAGAGTTTGACTCATTTATCAATGTTTAGGTTGATTAGGAATGTAGGATTGATAAAAATAAGAAAGAAAAAATTGAAATTTGCATAACAACAACATAGCATTAACATTGCGATAAAAATGGCTGCACTGGGGAATATATACGGATTTTATTGATGGTTCATCGTATGTATGTAATGGAAAGAAAATGCTCAAATAAAGTAGAAAGTGTGCAGTTCAAAGGTACAGTATTGTATAATGTGTAAAAACATTGAAATGAGTCTTACATCATTATTCTGTAAGGCAGCAGCAATATATTTTGAGTCATTAGAATCAATATCATTTTGTTGTAGATCGAGTTCCGCTATTGTCTGTACAAAAGAAGAACAATAAAAATAAATTGAATAATGAAAAAATTATACAGTATTATTATGTAAGACATGACATAATTGTACCAATTTGCCACGATTGAATTGCTTTTGAGAAAAATTCAACACAATAGGTGTCTGTTTGAAAATATCAAATGAGAACCATAAATATAACTGAGATTTCTCTTCGACAAACTATTTTCCATGCTAAAATAGATTTAGAATCCGAAAAGGAACTAGCAAAACCATCCAAGATAAAATACTTTTCTATTCATATAGGATGTTTTCATGATTCAAAACTAATCTGGATATACAAATAATATTTACTTGGTACCGACTATAAGTATTGATGATAGCATTAAGACGAGTACAAACATTCCGACATGATAGAATAATTGTTATTATATTAAGATGATCGAGAATCCGGTAGACAAGTTCGCAAGGAAGTATATCAAGAGACAATGTCATTTTGATAAATATGGTTATTTCTTTTTTTACTGATTCGTTAGCTGCAGAAGTTTCATGCCGACGATCAAATACAAAAGTTTGCACAGGTAATCAACATGTTTTTATTTTTTGCTTTAATTCTTATATAAAACAGCAAACCATGTGCCTGTTGATTACAAAAAATATTTTACATTCGTCACTTTTGTCTTCTTCATCTAGACTCAACCGTTAAAAAAAGGAAGAAAAAAAGTCAACATATGCTCCAGAAGGAGAACACATGGCAAATAAGTGATATTTATAAACTAAACTTAACATGTTGATGATATCTATTATTGTATATCGATTCAGGCAACATTGTAGATTATTTTGTTTGAGAATTTTTTATATCATGTTCGAAATAATTATTATTTGTTATATACATGTATTTTTACACACTTTCTCAAAACTGATTTAATGGAAGTGAATGAGAAAATGGGTAATACATTTAGAGAACTAAAGAATTCTGCTCGTTTTTAGTATGTTTATGCTAAGATCGCTCAGAATTAAAAGACATATTCTCTTCAAAAGTTTTCAAGTATTCAAATGACTTCACTTAGTTTTCCTACATTTTCATAAAATTTATTATACTTTTTTCTCTTGTGCATAAGATCACATTTATTCTAGTTATCTCATACACCCACAAGTTGCTTCAAAAACTTATTCAAACATTGAAGTGGTTACATACTGAATAATTTGAAAAATTCAAAGTTGGAGACTGTGATTGTGCTCATCTAATTACACTAAGTGTGATGATCAAATTAAAATTAAAATGATAACCATGTCTTTCTTGTCGAAAAAAAATGTAAAACATAGTGTACAAAGTTATGGGCTTATATTATGGTATCAACGAGTGTAGATATCCGATCGTGAATCCAAATGAAACTATTTTTAATTACAACAAACAAATGTCTCGAAGAATGATTAATATAAGTAATAAGTAGCTTTTTTAATGAATTTACATTATGAAATATGTTCGTCTAATATCAATTGAATGAATAAACAAAGTAAAGCTCTTGACACATTAGAAGACCTCCCTTGAATAAATGCCGCAAAAGACATATTAGAAGACCCCTAAAAAAAAACCGATATTTTGAAATAGTTTCTGGGATTTATTGACTTTTTTAGTATTCAAATTCATCATTACATCTAAATTTAGTACGAACAATGTTTTGCTTCCGTCCTTATCAAAAAAGTGTCAAATCCGAGCGAGTCAAATGTTGAGAAGCAGCTAATAGGAAACATCTATCTATTAAAGATTGCGTCTCTTTGTTAAAAACATATCGTGGAGTCATTTTAGTACTTCTTTGCAGCTTACTTGGAAAACATTCTTCAGGTTCTATACACGAAATACACTATTCCATGGTCATAGGAACTAATGAACACAGTGTATATTTGTGCGTGTAACACATGAAGAGATCTTCGTACAACAATAACAGATTAGGTAAAATGCGACTGTATATTAATTAAAAGACTTCTTCATCTTTGACTTTCTTCTAGAAAATCAGAAACGTTTGTATCATAAAACAGTCTTTCATAATTGAAGAAAACAACTTCATGTATATACATCGTGGTTTTATGTGTGAGAACTTCTTTTGAGTTCGAGAACGCATTTCTTTTCTCAATAAAATCTAAAGGCATTATTTGAAATAGTCACAAAAGAAAACACACAGTGTGTATTGAACTGCTGATTTTCTATAAATGGTTTCTTCACAAGATAATCTTATTCATTGAAGTTAGCTTGAGATTACTAACTATGCTACTGGCAGAATCTACTGTGAATGAATTTCATCTATACTTATCAAATCTCCACATACGCAACTGAATTAGATGAGCTTGATAAAAAAAAATTAATTTTCTTTTTTTTATTTATTTCTTTATTGCAAAGATAAAATGTTGCTAGTGATAGATCTTAGCCCTGAGAAAAAAGAACACTAGTGGGTATCGTACCAAAATGCTTGGCTACGTTGATTGTATAGTTCTAAGAACACTTCTTTCCAACAATGGTCTCCCCTTTTTCACAGGATAGTATCTGTCTCTTTTATATTTTACACACGTAAAGTAAGTAAAGAAAACTCATTTACTGACGATATATGGGACAAAATTCAAGTGAAACTAGGATTTGTTGGGGCGGAACTGTCAAAAAATATGATTTTTTTTTAGGGACATATTAGAAGATCTCTTTTTAAATTATGAACGATAAGACAGAATAGAAGACCCCGAGTCTTCTAATGCATCAATGGCTTTAGTGTAAATATTTCCGTTGCATAGGAACAGTTATGTATTAGAAGAGAAATATGATTTCCTTTCTTTCACTGCCTTACAAGTTGATTTCAATTCTGATCATTTTTAAAACCTTCGAATCATTTCTTGTGTTTCTGGTGTGAAGAGGTAAAGATCAGAGATCAAAACGCATGAGAAAACCTTCATTCGACTCGATTCGATTCTTCCTGGTATAGCACAAAAGTATATTGTTATTTTCCTACCAAAAAAGACATCATATAAAAAGAAAAAAATTCAGTAGATGCAAAAGAAACAATATGTAGAAATCAATCAGCTATCTCAAGATTATTACAACATCATTATGATACTGTAAATAACCAGCTGTTGAAAAAGTGTTAAACCGATTAAAGAATATTTAAATACCTTCTAAATTGCCATTCTTCTTTTTTTGATATCTGTGTAACTTACTTGAGTCAATTATTAGTTTCATATCAAATTATTAAGTCAATTTGATATTTACATCTGAATGTTGGATTTATCATGCTCAATTTTTACTGAGTTGAGTTGAACAACTAATATTTAAGGGTATTAGAAAACAATATATTCCAGTATTGATTCTTTCTAGAAGTTTACTAAGTCTCAAAGTATAAGAATCTCAACTCTCATCTCTTTTTATTGAACATCGATTTAAATACTCAGTTCTATAGTAAAATTCAAAATGACTGGAATACAATTTTTCATCGATCTATCTATGTTTAAATATAAATTTACTTGAATAATTATTATATATTTGTTGATAATAAATAAAAAAAAAAAGAAATGTTGACAATATCATTTATATACAACAGATACCATAATATAAGAAGAAACACACACATTAAACACCGAGACAATTGTAAAACAGGAAGAAAAAAAAAAGATGTTTTTTATACACATCACTGTGACTTGATGAGAATTTTATATTAAAGTGTTAATATTGCACATCAATAATCTCATCATCTTCGCCCTCTTCTTCTTCTTCTTCTTCTTCATGTGATGATATTTCATCACTACTTGTACTATTAATAATTCCCATAGTTGTTTCCATAAGTTCTATTGGTGGATGATCAATTGTTATTGTTGATGATGATATATCATGAGTTTTTGAATGTTTTGATAAATGATCAGAACGCATAAAACGTTTTCCACATTTTGAACAAGCAAAACGTTTTTCACCTGTATGTGTACGTAAATGACGTTGTAATTCATCTGAACGTGTAAATGCTTTAGAACAAAAAATCCAAGTACAACGAAATGGACGTTCACCAGCATGCCAACGTAAATGTGCTTTTAAATGTGATGTTTTACCATAAATTTTTTTACATATATGACATATATGTTGACGTTTTGATGTTGATGAATCAGTTAATATGGTTGATGGTTGATTAATACAATTAGGACAACGACAACGTTTACATCGTCGTGTTACATAACCAAATAAACTTGATGAATATTCATTAACACTCCACCATTTATCCGATGATTCTTTACGTAAAGAAACAGGTGTTAATGATGATGATGATGAAGAATTTGAACTTGAATTTAATGAATTCGACGAAGAAAATATTGCAGCAAGAGCATGTGGATGAATTGCTGGAGGCAGTGGTGGTGGTGGAGGTATAAGAGAAAATTGTGCTTGTAGAATTTGTAATGCTTTATAATGAATTATTGCTTCTGTATGTAAACGATCTAATGATGATGATGACCATGATGTCGACTGTTTATCAATTTTAATTTCTGTTGTTGATTGAGGATTTAAAGGTATAGGTCGAGCAATATTTGAATTATTCATTGAATTCTTAAATAGAAAACAAATGCAATAGTTCTAACTAACAAGAAAATCATATATATATATATACGGAAAAAAAGGATCATGGGTGGGAGAAAGAGATCAAAGGCAGACAATGAGGACTGAATATATATATATATATCAACTAATTCAACTTGAATCACAACTGCACGTGTGTATGTTCTTGTCTTGGCTCATTATCCGATGTCGGCGCTCTCTACTGTGATAATCTGTCGGCAAGTGGCCAAAGCTGCCACTGCTGTTGCCTTTTTTTTTTTTTGAAGATGACGAGTGGTGTGTTCCGGTTAGTATCAACTTAATTGGACGAAGGGAAATGCAAAGACTGTTTATGTGTTACCATGTGATGAAATAGCGGTACACATACTCGATAAATGATTAATATGCAAATCGAAGAAAGCTTCAAGCTATAACTGACCGTTCATTAGATCAGAAGATAGTCTCGTTGCCTAAGGAAATGGTTTTATTCTTTTCTTTTTTTTTAAATAGTTTGATATATTTCAATGAATGACATCAAATAAGAATTTTCGTTTACATACCATGATTAAGTTATGTCCCTGTAAAAGAAATGGATGAGCCAGAATAACCATACTACTCTATCTATAATTTAATTGAATGTAAAATATACTACAGATATTTTTTCTCTTATTCTCTCTCTCTCGTCTTATTTCTTCAAACTGTGTATCTATCTGTTGACTCTACCTTAGATACTATGCATAAAAAAACAAACGAGATACCATTCACTCTTTTCTTCTCTCCTTTTCTCATCTGTGAATATACCGTTCTTCTTGTTCTTTTTCTCCTCGATGTTCATTATTCCTTAGGGTGTTATCTCTATTGGTTGTTAGGAATTGTAGAAATAATTATTGACCAATGAAAAATGATATACTTTCGCTTTTGTTTGATTGAGAGAAAGAGAAGGAGAGAAACGACACAAATGGGGCGGTGTCGATCAAAAGAAAAAAAACTTAATCTCAAACCGATTTTTTTTTTAAAGCTGTTCGGCATATTGATTCAAATAATCAGTCATCATGAAGATTATCGTCTTTATACATATACATACATACAAACTAATTCAATCGACAAGTCTCTTTTTTTTTTTTGTTGTCGAAAAAAGTAATTCGATTTGCTTTTTCTTCATCATACATTGCCGACATAGCGACATATGTATATGTATAATAAGAGTAAACATGAATTTCTTTTTTTCTTGTTGTTGTTGTTGTTTCTCAAGAGATTTCCGATATGAACATCCTAGTAATTTGTTGTAGTCGCTTAAGCACATTAAAAGAAAGTACCGATATACAAACACTACACGTTGGCAATTGTTTTTTTTTCTTCTTCTTCTCTCTTTTAGTTCTAGCATTCGATATATGAGTATGCCATAAAGTCGGTAGCGCTTAGGTCTATAATCATCATCATCGAAAAATCAAACGTGTCGTCGATGGGTGGTGTCACTTGCATGTCAAATTTGAAGTGAAATTATTGGCGGTATTAGAAATGATCATCAAAAGAATCCATTTGACACATGTGTTGTGAATACGGACATAAGCATACACTTAAAAATTAGACCGATCTTCTTCAATGTCAAATTTTATTGCCCGCTTGCACATTTCTGTCAATCCTATTATCATCATCATTACCTTTTTACGCGTGCGAAAGAAGAAACAAGTGACCGTCATATCTCACTTTTGCTTCTCTTTTCTTTTTTATTCTTTTATGAAAGTCGAATGACTGATTCGACTAACATATGCACGCATGCACATAAAAAGGTGTGAACTATAAATTGGATACGAATGGATTTTTTTTTTGTTTTTTACTCAAGAGATTTATTTTTTTAAAAGTTTTTTTTTTTTTGTTAAATTTAATAAGACTGATGCGTGCTGTTTTAATATTAACGAGAGAAGTTCATTTACTTGATCATCATCACAGTTAGTTTATTCTTTTGTCGGTTAAATCATTATGATCAATGGTTTGATTTGTCAGTTAGCAGGAGGTCTGATATACATCACATGTCTTGTTCTTCTCTCACTTGTCTATCGAACTATTCGTTCATTCTTTTTTTTTTTGTATACATATATATATGTACTCGAACAGGCGGTTCCAATCACGCCTTTCACTACTTGAGTAAAGAAAGAAGGCCAATCATGACAGGCGGTATAAGATAAAACGAAGGCTAACTATGCATACAAATGGTCGCCCTTTCACTCGATTCTTCTGTTGTTTTTCTTTTCGTTATGATCAATAGTGAAGTGAAACGCTTGAAAAATTTAACCCTAAGAATTTATCTATATTGAATGTTTTCAAATAGTAAACCTCTTGATTCATTGAACTGACAGAAATTCAATCGGATTAGATGTGCAAGTATTTTCATCATGATCTCAATTTCAAAGTGCATCATCTTCTTGTGTTTCCACTTGATTAACATCGACAGGAACGTCTTACATCCGATTTGAATTTCTTCTTTCTTTTTTTTTTGAGTGTCACCCGACGTTCATCACTTCCAATCATTCAATCGGATGTACATTCTAATGGACATATAAATATGTACGTTTTATAGATGTAAAAAAAAAACTAGACAGTCTTTTGTCGTTGTGAATGTTTGCAACATCCATCAATACTCGATATACTTATCATCTTTTTGTCGTTACCTGTCGTATTTCTCTCTTATATTTACAAGCAATGATTAACGACATATGTCTTCCGCCAAAGGAAAAGATCAAGGAAAGACAATATTCATCAATGAAGTGCTTGTTTAAGATGATGAGTAGGATAAGAAGATTATACAAGCAAAATCAAGTCATCGATCATTTATCATTGATTTTGAGAGAATACATCAATTTTAGAAGCATTATCACAAAAAGAATTCTTCACTTGTCTATGAAAGACATGTCAATAATGAAAAATATTTTCTTTAACTATTATTATTATTTGTTTAAGAAACCGCCCTTCTCATCATGATTGAGTTTGTTAAAAAGTGTGATATCACACACTTATGCTTCTTCTTCTTCTTGAATGAGTTGTTTCATCTCGAAACATGTTTTATCTTTCAATAACTATATTTGTTGTTAAATGTAAATAAGACTGATATTAAAATCTATGACATCTTCAAATTGTTTACATAGAATTTTCAATATTGATAAGAAGAAAATGAGAGAAAAAAAAAAAAGTCAAAAAATTTTTTTTTTTGTTGTTTTCTCATGGGAATGAATAATAATTACTTTTTTGTTTTACTACCTGATTGTAACATATGATCGATGTCGAGACAGTGACATTACGTGTGACCCCTTTGATGTTTGACTATAGGTAATGATTTTTATTTTGCATGTTCTGTCTTTGAAAATTAATAATAGAAAAATGAATCGGATTTAATATACTAAATAAATTCAATCAGTTGGAATTATTATTGTTTTGAGTTTTTTTTTTATGAAAATTAATAAAAAACAAAAAAGAAAGCTGTTGTTACAGAACTAAAGATTTTTCATATGTGAAATTTAGATATGTCACACTATCAATAATACTTGAATTTATTGATGAATCAACTTATTCATATATAAATACAGAACAAAAATTGTACAATATCCATAGTTAAATTTCAAGTCTTGACATTGAAAGTTTGATGTTATGCAGTGTTGTAAAACTTACATAGAACTATGATTATTTTTCAACTAAAATGGGAGTAAAGACGCAGAAATAAAAACCATCATCGAATGTACTTATCGTACATAGATAAGTAAATCATATCTCAATACTTAATCTATACATAGTTTTTGAAAATTATTGTTTAACTATCGAGAAAATCGATTTTCTCAACTTGCTTTTAGCATTCTTCAGTTTTTATTGACTTTTTTTCACAAAATCTTAATAAATAATTTGACGAGCTCTAACAATGACAATAAAAGACATATTTTGTTCAAATTTCATATTGTCAGCATCTAACATAGGGATGTACCGAGACTGAACCGAGACTCTCGGTCTCGGTCAATCTCAGCCGAAAAGCTTAAAGAAATATAATTTCGCCAGAGACAGAGTAGCACACTTATCTATGATAAAGAAATGATCGAGATTAAGCATAATCGAGACCGGCCCTACTCAATACCAAGGTTGAGGCTAGCCAAGACTGACCGAGACAAATCGAGATCGAGGCAGACCGAGACGGACCGAGACCGAGCTCTCGGTCTCGGTACATCCCTAATCTAACATAAATAATGAACATTTATAATAAAAAAAAGATAGTTATTATCAATTATTAGAGATAGTATATTTTTCATTCAAATTGTAATTCAGAAGCAATTTCAATAAGAGAAAATCGTTGATTTGTTATTAATTTTGATTCAATTATTGAATTTTGTTCATTTTCATATTCTAATTGTTTATAATAAATACAAATAAATATAGATGAAATAATTAAAATAATAATATATAATATAAATAGACTAGAAATAATTATTATTAATAAATTTAAATTCGAATTTTCATATTTTAATATATGTGTACAAAGTTGATGAACATAAGTTTTTGGATGATATAATTTTTGATTAATAGGTATAGAAATAAAATTTTTATAACAATAACAATCATGTGTTTGAATACCATGTATACATTTTGTTGATAAATATCGATGATTAAATGGAATAAAATATGATGAAAAATTAAATGAAAATTTCTTTTTAAGATTATCAAAATTTTCACATTGATTTGTTCGAATATTAAGAAAATGATTACATTTTGGATATATATTATATGATGAATTATTTATTTGAAATAGATATT